TTCATTTAATCACTTATGCACGTGGCTGTACTCTCGTCGGGACCGTACATTGGTCTAATTCGTTTAAAAGAATTCGTGTTATTCATCTTTCATCATTTATCTTGGTTTATTGAATTTCAGTAATTCATTCATCAGGTGCTGACCACGCCTAGAAGTCTTCAATCGCATTTTTTCGAATTTGTCGATTGCTATTTGAACTGAATCAATATTTTGAAGTGAGTTTTCAAAACTACTTAATTGATTTCAATGCTCGACTTGTAATACAAGACTCCTTCGCAAAACATACAATTTTGTTCATTTTGCTGCTGAAACATTTGATAGAATGATTTTTTACTAGTAATCTTCCGATAATTTCCCTTCATAAGCAGCAAAATGTTGAATTCCAGACATCATCACAGTACTCATGAATATCCACTGTAATCCGAGTAAACAAAAACATCGATGTATCAAAACCATAAGCCTTTTGACGTGATGATGATATAGTTCTTCCCCGATTATTCATCAATTTGAAGAATTTCTGATTCGAATATTTTTCGTGATCTGATGGCATTCACTCAAAGTATTTGCTTGAAATATTTGTGAAATTCATTGAATTATTACCTTTATCGTTGCAGATTATCGCAATCTCCCAACACCACCATCACAGCAGTTCATCGACTATCATATCGAAACAATACTTTATCATTCGTAAGTTTTGAATTAATTTCGTTTTCATCAATACATCAGTACTAAGTATCATTTGTTTAAGGTATTTCAGTTATCTTAGTCTGCTTCCTCCAAGATTCTGTTCCATCTGAACGCCCAATGACTATTTTAAGCTATAATTACAATGAAACGAATAAATGAAATTAACGTACATGATAATATTCATTCATTTGAAAGCGACTCATTACTGCTCTAGCTATTGTTTAACTTCAGGTTTGACTGGTGATTGGTTGAGACATTCGTTTTTTTATTTGGTGTGATATTATGGAGTAATTATTTATTTTTAACGTTATTTGTGTTTATTGTGTTGTTATAATCGGTGATTCGACTGGTGTTGTTTCAAATCGAAATTTTCGTGTAGGTTTTGAATGTGATTTCCATTATTTCATTCACTTTTTAAAATATTATTTCAAGTTATTCTCAACTTATTTCAATACTCTTACTTTCTTCAACAAATCTGAACAGAATTTTATTATTGTAAATATTTGAGTTCATCAGTCAGAACCAAATTTATTTGATGAGAATTAACCGCGCGGCAATTTACATTGCCCTATCGTTCATTCCGACTGCTTGTAGGATTATCGATATTGGAATTGATTAAACCAGCTCAAATTTCAGTTCTTGGAGATTGCGTAGCAATTCCTTCGCTCTGTTTCAATCTTGTTTATTTCAGGTGTCGTTTCATCCGTATTTTCGTCATTATTATTGGTTTTGTGGAGTGATTTTTTATTGGACGACTAATCAACAATTTTTCTTCATCATTATTATTTCGATTATTATTGTTGTTGACATATGTGAATAATTATTGTGTGCTGCCGGTTATAATTTTTATTATTGTAAGTATTTTATTTCATTTATTCGTTTCTTTGATATTTTCCAATTTCGATTCTATTTTTGCTTCCTTCGTCATTGTTTGCACTGATGTAATGCGCATTTGATANTGAAGATTCGGACATAAACTCTTCTTTAAATGCGGCATTTCATCTCCTACGTTGATGCAGTTTTACATTTCATGCACCTCATGTCATTGCTTTATGTTAGAAGGAAAATGTGCCTCAAAAGACGTCATTCTATCAAACTGCGTAATATTTCCTAATGCATAATCGAGCCGGTGTATTTTATTATATTATACCCAACATTTCTCAGGTTGTAGCAATAAGAGATAATTTTTTCGTTTGAGGAAGAAAAAATGTTTAAAGAAACATGCGAAAAAAACGCCTTGAAAATTTAGAATTCAAAGTAAACTTCACGTTTTTGTGATCCGCTGCGCTCAGTCATTCGAATGCGAACAGTTGATTCCAATATTCGATCTGTCCATTAATTTACTTGAACAATAACATTAGTCTGAATCACTGCACTGATATGTAGCTTGATAATATCGGCTGGAATTCTGGAGATTTAGTGAAATTTGGAATGATGAATTAGAATCTTTTGTTTCATGCGAAAAATGCAATCGCTTCAGAAGTTCATTCTAAACAGAAAACAACCCTCGATACCATACTCGAATTATGCCTCAATATTTTAATGTTAAATTATAATTTCTACAAAGAGCAATTTTTGCTGCCTTATCAGATTCTATTGCTGCGTTGAAAATCACTTGATGATATTACAAGCCTGAAAGACGAAAATTTTCGCCCATTCAAATTAAGAAGCATAACTTTTTCGCTTGAAATTTGCATAGGCAAATGACATTATTAACCTTGCTGTGAACCGCAGACATTGAAATGAGAGTATCTTTTCGAGCCCTTTTTTATTCGTTGCGCTTGATTATGTCGAGATTGAATAACTGAGTTGAACACTGGATCTGTCTCATGAATTGTCTGACATTAATCCACATCACCATATTGGAATATTTTTCGAGGATTTACGCCTAAAATGTTGGATGATTTGCGACCTTTTCACCCACTTTCGGTTCTAAACTGTTTCAATGATATCAGCAAACAGACTGAACCTTCGAGCAACTGACTTTTGCTTTTCCAAATTTCCTCCATCGGTTGCATCTATGTGCGTGAATCTCTATGGTAGCAGCGAATATTTTGTAATCATCCTCCGAATG